TCATCATATATGCAGCTGAGATTCACTCAGATAAAGAGTTCACACCAGACGTTCGGCTGAACATTTGCCTTTGATCGTTTGTTTCAGGTTTTAAATATAATAGGATTTATTAGTCTTGATCCTGGACGTGCTTGTCCTGAATCTGGACCTGTTGGTCTGGACTGAACTCTAGACTGGTCATAATTTTAGACCTGCTGATCTTGACTCTTGGTCTTGACTTGCTGACCACAGTTCTGGACCTGCCCGTCTCGACCTTCGGTTTTCTGGTCTTGACCCCGGATGTGCTGGTCCTGACTCTTGGTCCTGACTCTGAACGCATTGCTCTTGAGTCAGGACTGAATGGTCTTGACTCTGGACCTCCTGGACCAGCAGGTCTGATGTACTGCAGCTCCTGAATGTCTCATGGTTTTCCATCACTGTTGTTAGAAGATGAATGTTTTAATATTTTTCTGTCTTGGTGGAGGTTTTTGGTGCTTTTTGTTTTACTTTCTACTTTTTCGTTTCTTCTATTTTTTAATCTTAAGTTGACTTTGAGTTCATTTTTTCCTCCTCTTCCTGTCGCTCTCTCTCTTCCTGTCTGTCCGTTCATGTCATCCTTTCAGTTGCTCACCTCCGTCTGGTTTCATCGCCTCGGCTCTGACGGAGTCATGCAAACACATCTCAGCTGCTTCTGTGGCAGCTGTCGACCTGACTGACTGTCAAAGCGACTCTCTCTGTGCGACTGACATGCAGCAGAGCTTCGTCACGAGGGAAACGAGAGTTCAGGCCAACCAGCACGTGAACTGGTTTCCCTGTTTGATGAGCTTCTGCTGTAAACATCACGACACCACGGTTAAAGGATTCAGTAAACACGCATCACCAAATTTAAAATGCATGTGCAGGATTTAATAAGTTATTTATTTACACAACAGTCGCCTCAAGGCGCTTTATGTTGTAAGGCAGACGCTACGATGATAAAACGAAGCTTGTAACCTCCTCAGCTTCCCTGTGGTGTGGACACCAGCGCTGAGGTGGTCCAGCTGCTCGTTCATGGGAAGGTCTCAGAATTAGGAGCATGAAGGTCAACGCGGGGTCACAGGACCATGGAGTCAGCTGCCACAGAGGAGCATCTAGAGTCTGCCATCAGAAACTGTGGAGGCGTGTCAGGTTCATAGAAGAACACAGAAAGTGATCCCATTATTCCCAGTTAACGACGGCTAACCAGTTTGTTTGAGTCAGAGGAAAGAATCGGACATCAGTGGTTTTTATTGTGACGTTAATCCAACTCAGACGATTTTAAGCTGTTTCAACATTTTATATGCTTATGATGTAAAACGTCTGATTAGTGATGTCGAGCGAGGTCGACGCTGTTTTTAACGAGGCGATCGATCACAGCTCCTCAGGTGAGAGAGTCTGCGTTCTCTGAAAAACATGTCAGACAAAGTGACGGTGGCTTTGCAGGCGTGTAGAGAGAGTCAGTCATCCTTCTGGTGGTCGCGATGAATCGTCTCGCTGTGGTGCTGTGATGTTTACAACAACTCAAAAGCAGCAAATGAAGATGGAGGCAGGAAGTAAGAAGCAGTAAAAGAAAAGGAGGATTTGTTTGTTAATGACAAAGCAGCAGCGGCTCTGTGTCGGCATGTTTATATTTCTCAAAGCGTGAACGCTTCATATTTTTCTACGATTCAAAATAAGAAGAGACAGCAGAAATCCTCCAGAGTGCAGATGAGACTTCAGAAAAGTTTGAATGTGACTTTGTGTCTTTCAGTTTGAGTCAAACACCTTCATGAATATTGGAGGAGAGACTTTTTAAAGTGGGAGACGCATGAATATTACAGCACATTAGCTAAAGTAGGTGAACCGAGCGGCTGTCGTGTGTTGTTCCTGCTTTAAATATCCGGCTTTAACAAAGCATGTAATACCCGCCAGCACCAGCAACCTGCTGTACGACACACACATTTCAAAATAAAAGCCTGTAGCCAAGCACTTTAATTTGAAGTATATACATTCTTCCTACGTTGCACCAGATTGCTTCTAATTAGGCGAGAGGGAACTCGCACCGATAGGTGGACACCAGCTGTTGCTCACAGCACACTGACAGCCCACACTCACTATCCTGTTGTTAAGTGATGACGTGTGAACAAACTGCTCTGCGTTTATTAAGGCTGTTGTGTTTTTAACATGTTTTGTATCTTGTTCTATTTAATCTCAACAAGCCCCTAAAAACAGTCAGTGATCACTGTGTAGCTAGCGATCACGTAGCACATCATTATATACCAGCTAGCCCAACTTCAGTAACCCTACAAGCGTCACTGCTGTTTAGTTTCCTGTCTTCATTTATATTGAAGTGATAGCAGAGCTGTACGTTTGAATTAGTTTCAGAAATCACTCAGAACATATCATGTTTAGGTGGAAGCTAGCGAGCTAACTTCCTGCTAACTTCCTGCTAACTTCCTGCTAACTTCTAACTGAATTTAATAACTTCTGTTTTCATGGATGTTAAACTTAATTGTTACACCTGGTAAAGCAGCAACGCTGATGATTTTATTAAAGATGAAATAATTTAGACAGTTTGTAACTCTCAGTGATGCTGCAGTGTTCGTTTGACTTCGGGACCTGAAGCAGAGTTTGGACTTGGAAACAGCTGATGGCGTCAGACTAAAAGACCAGATAGGCTTAAAGTGAAAATGTGATTCACACATATCTGTTTATAGCTGAGTGCTGATATTATTCAAATATGTTAAATGATAGTTTGTGCAGAAATATTTATTTCACACATGGTTCAACAGAGTTTCGTTTCCTACAGATCCTCCTTCCCATTAATATAACACTGCACCTGTGGGTGAAAAGGAGCAGCAAGAAGAATAAAGTCTTGTTAGCACCTGCCCCCCATCTGCAATCCAATTATTCTTACAAGAAGGCGCCAATAACCTCCAAAAAACTCTCTAACATGTATCTTTATGTAACAATGCAAAACTAAACAACAAATCGGTATAATCACAATATGCAGCATTAAATGGCAATGAAGATTTTTCCTTCCACATTTAGCCCAAATTACTTTCATGTTCTTCATGTTGATTTATCCTTTTAAGTGTGTAACACTTTTTAAACGGTGCATGTTTGTACAGCTCTTGAGATTATCTTCAAGAGATTCTTATACCTTTAACTGTCGGACACATTTGCCTTTGTGAGGTCAAACTGATGCTTAAAGTCAAACTTCCTTCTGCTGGCACCACTTCCTGAACACAATACAAACAAACTTTGTAACTTAATGTGTTATTTTTTGCCTTGCACATGAATAATAATGTCTGTGATTTCACTAAGTCTTCAAATTTCAACAATTTCGATTTTATAAACAGATTATTTGTTTGTTCTCTATATTTAACATTATGAACCATTCGTACCACCTTCTTCTGTAACAAGTATAGAGGATGTATATAAGTCGCATATGTATTCCCCCACACACAGCACAATAACTGAGATAATTAGGAAAATTAGTGAGAAATATAAAATACACATTGCCTTATAATCTAGTCTCTGACATTACCCAGAATATTTTAACCATCTTTTTTCTAACATGTTCAATATAAGATTTCCATTTTAATTTATCATCCAACATTACCCCCAAAAACACAAACAGTAGCAGAAACACGCTGGCCGTTATGGGGAGGAGTCTAAATGTTGTTTCTGATCTCTTTTGCCTGCAACATGTTTGTCCCATAGCAGCCACCGTAGCTTGGATTATGCTGGATTAGAAGGATTAGAAACAGAACTCAGCTGACTGCTGAGATCTACTGACACCTAGTGGTGAGGTTTTCCACACTGTACTTTTAATCTTGGAAAAGATTTTCCGTACGTGGGATCTGATGCTCTGTCTTTGGAGCGCCTTTCCTCTGTGACATTGAAACGTTCGTTGCTTTGTGTTTTGCAGTTGTGGGTCTGAAGCTGTGATTCTCCGTGAATCCCTCACTGGGCTCAGGTGTAAAACAGTAATGAACCTGGACGTGTCATTAGGTGTGTGCAGGTCGGTTGGAGCGCTCTCAGAGCGAGGCCGTGCTGTTCGGGGACTTTGCGCACGGATGTAAATTTAATGAGATTAACATTTGGAGCGGATCGAGTCGAGGACTAATGGGACGCGCCGCCGCCACAGCGGATTAACATCACAGGAAGTTTGCAGAGAGGGAAGGCTGAGTGTGGATAAAATGAGACCGAGCTGGGTTTGTGGCGAGGTTAGCTCTTCATCCCGAGGAGCCGAAGCGACGAGTGCTTGATCACGGCTCAGCTGTGAAGTTCGACAGGCTTCTGAGTCAAAGCGTCTCTTTGTTCTCTAAAAATAAAGCGTCTGCGTTCACGCCTGCAGGCAGGCTTCAGGAGCGATTTTACACCTCAGACTAAATATAGCGAGCCGGTCACGGCTCCGCAACAGCCGTTATAATTAGCACCTGTTCTTTAATCACAACTCAAAATCACAGCCGTCATGCGTGAGCCTCCGCTGTCTGAAAGCACTAATGATGATGTCATCACTGATATCAGGGTGAAGCGTCTACGGGTCGTTCTAGGGCTGCAGGACAGTTTAACGCACAGGAACAGACACTTTATTACATCCTGATCTTTGTTCAGAAAAAACAATATGAAACATGATGAAAAGTCATCGTTTAATTAAAAGTACACAGCAGCGGGTTCAGGAAATGAGAATCATTTTCAAACCTCTGTATGTCTGATCACCTGCTGCTGAAGAGCAACCATGCAGTGCAGGCATCTGCTCCTCAGCAGGCTTCCAGAAACTGGCCAATCAGGAACAAATGTGCTTTTTAGGAGCAGGGGGTTTAAAGAGGTTAAGGGGAAACAGCTGATTAATACGTGTTTATACCTTTAGATAAAACCAGAAGGTTATAGTTTATCTCAGGGTGAGTGGTTTCCTCTCCATTCAGGGAGTTTTGGGCGATAATGGCCATCCTACGCTTGATATCCTGACATCACTGCTAGAAAACAAATCACTCCTTTTGTTAAAACTTTCAGCACAGCAGTGCTTAGAAACCTGTCATCCAGACGTTACTGGTTAACACGTGCCGCTGTCGTCCACACACCAGGGGGCGCTGCACACGGAGGTTAATATTAAAAAGAAGTCCGAACTGGACGCAGGTCGACAGACCGCTGGGCAGACTGCGATGTGTTTGCGTCCGACTCCTGCAGAAGAAATCAATCATTTATTGGATGCTTTGCTGCCCCCCCCCCACATTTTTCTGACTGTCTATAATCTTCTGTGTCTGCATATTTTCTCTGTGCACATTACCCATCAGACTAAAAACAGGAACTATGAAAACCTCGACCAACAGAACTTTGACTTCAGGAGAACACCCAAGGTATAAACTTGCATGGTCAAATGATGCACGCCGCCCAACCAATCTCTGAGCTCGCCCAGTAGTAGCCAAACACCAGTCAGCCCCGCCCGCCCAGAATCCAACCCGGCTCCAGAGATAGACTCTTATCCTGGTGGCACGTCTTTTCTCCACATCTCCTTTCTTTCTTTTGATTTTTCATGATTCCTGCACATCGGGAATGGGTTTACACTCGCAGGAGAGACGCCCTTCCTCTTCCTCCCCCCTCCTCATCCCCCTCCCCCTCCCCGGGTTTTTCCTTGTGAAGGGTTGCATGTGGCCAGGCTGACGCGTGGCTCTGTCTGCAGATTATCGAGGAACACACCAGGATCCTCTCACTCCTCTTTTCTTTTTCTTTTTGGAAATGAACCACTTCTCCCCCCCGCCTCCCCTCCTCTTCCTCCCCTCCTCCCCCCTCCACTTGAATCTTTTTTTTTTAATTTGCGGTTGCATCAGTGCGCTCTAACATGCACGTTCCCGATTGGTTGGTTGGTTGGTTGGAGTCTTGAAAGCGCCTCAGTTTGCATGTGCCACCACACCACGCACAACTTTTTGCCCCTCCTTCTTTGTATTCCAGCTTCGACTTTGAGTTTTCTTTAGTTCAGCAGATCTTGAACACTTTTTGTCTCCATTTTTTGCTCCCGTCCCTCCTCCCCTCCTCCTCCGGTGGTAGCGTGGGTGAGAGGGAGCATGGTCGAGGTTGGGGTTGTGGGTGGTTGGGGAGGGGTTGTGGATGTGGAGCTAACGATGGCTGTCCTGCGATGTGTTCTGTGGTGTTTTGTTCTGCCGTGTTTCTCACTGTCCCTCGGTGTTACCGTCCGTCCACTGTGTCCATCTGGTGGTCCTCCAGGCTGAGAAGGTGCTGCTGTTCAGCCAGGACACCAACCTTACCGCCCTGCTGCTGGAGGCGAAAGACCTGGAGGCCCGAGTCATCATCCTATCTGCCAGGTTTGTGCACATTTCAAGCTGGTTTCCATGATGGTTTCTGATTGGACGATGTTGTGGTTTCCACAGTTAGGCTGTATCAGGGTTAGGACACTGGTCACAGTTTAAGTTGTTCTTGCCATGACTTTGCAGGAACTTTGTGACTGAGCCATCAGCAAGTGTTGGACTGAATCTGTGTAAAACAGGTAAAAGTAGCAGCTGCAAATGTTGTGTAAAAAGATCCATGTAAACGCGAGTAGGACGTACAAGGTCTAAAGATCAGCCCTTAGTCTGATGCAACAACAATCAGCCTCTATCGTCAGACTCTTCTGCACAAAACACCAACAGCGAATCCAAAACTGAACAAGGCCAAAGTCTGAAGACCACGGCCCGAGCTGCAGCTCATCGTGAGGTGCTAAGATAAGATAAGATAACTCTTTATTGTCATTGCACAGTCATACATAGTACAATAGTACAACGAAATTGGAAAACTGTCCTACGTCGGCAC